ACAAGCTTCACAAGCATAGAGTGATTTAATTTCTTGTATCAAACAAAATGCTGCTTTCTGACACTAAAGGACTATTCTCTCACAGCACTATGTGTTAAAATTCATCATTCCTGTATATTCAAACAGATGGGACTCAATGAAAACTTCTAATGAAATCAGCATTAACTTACATCCAGCATGCAAAATCTTTAAAGGACTTTCTTTAATGTTGTTTTTTATTGCACAGTTTCCTAATTAGAGTTAAATTGTTACATTCCCAAGATAAACCAGTCCTTACACTGGGTGAAAAGCATAAAAGGGAATTGAATACAGTTGTATAAAACACATATAAATAAAACTAAGATGTAATTCTTCAGGAAATAACCACAAAATAATTTCATGATAGACATTTATGCTTACTAATATTTACCCTTGTATTTGATTTAATTTTCATTGGTTTTTTTCACATGAGATTCAATTAGTCTGGCAAATGACATTCACAATCTAGGGGTTTTTCTCTCTAACATGGAGAATAGAAAATTAGCGTGTAAACCTGGCACAACCAGATGATTCAGATCTCAGTCAGTTCCTACACCACAGTGCAGAACACCAAGGCTGCAAAACCAAAGATACTGCAGCTCAGAACTTTTTTTCTTCCCTATTCCCTCTTAAAATTTCAGAGGAGAGAAATAAAATGAGGGGACTGTGTGTGTGTCATTACTCCAGTTCAATAAGGCTAAAAAAGTGCTGAGAAAGAAGTAATTTCTTGTCTGATCTTAGGTACACAGAAGTCAATAGTAACTTATTGACCATAAATATTTTCATTTCATAGCTCCCCACATCAGCAGCAGCACTACTGGCCTTTAATATTGTAATTTTAAACTTTCACTTAAGAAAACTTCGGAGACTTGCCAATGTAAGGGGCAAATAAGCAGAACAATTCTACAACACACACACACACACAAAAATAAATCTGTAATATGTCTATATTAACAATCCCATTATGATAAAAGCCCCTTCCTTTAGTTTTACAAGTGATATAATGACACAACATGACATGGAAACACTTTTCCCTCCTGGACATTTTGCCATTCCAGCAAGCACCGTTTGTTCTTTTTAAGCACATTCACACAAACAACGAATTCTGCTGTTACTCTCAGTGTGCCCATGCATGTGGCAGAACTGCACTGACAGACATTTTAACTCTGCCTTTCAAAGACTGGCAGGTTGATGCTGCAAGGCCCTGAATGAACTGACTGATCCAAGGATATCCACAGCTCCAAACGCATTCATAGCCATAGTCAGGATTAAAGGAATTTCCTCTGTAAACAGTTGCACTCACATTTGTGATCCCTTGCTGGCCACACAGTACACATTAAATGCATTATAAGAGCAAGTTCATAAAGCAGAGAATCTTGTTTATGCAAATGGGATGAAAATATCACAGTAGGTATCCCCTTTCTCCCTGAGCAGAGAAACCAGTATCAAAAATATTTAAACTTTTCTCCATTAGCTAGGATGCCTGCATTATACATTTTCATTCTACTTCAAGTTCCTAAAATGCAACAATAAAAAAATCCTTAAGGTAAGCACTTGGCATTTGTACCAGCCCAAAGAGCAGTCTATTTGCTCATATCTCCATAGCAGTTTACTTTGAAAGGGCAAGTTTTACAATTCTGATGGAAATTAGGTGAAATAAGTTATTTGAAACTGAGGAAAAAGAAGTGAAGAAGGAAGAAGAAACACAGCTTTTAAAGACATGCTCAAAGTGCCAGGCAATATCACACAACATTCACTTTATTTAAAGTCCACGCTGAATGCCAAAAAACTCCCTACCTTCTGCCTGGTTCTTGACACGTGCCATAACTAAAAAATTTTATTATGTTACATTAAGAGAATAAAGTGCCCTAAGAAACTACAGAAATACATCATAATGTGCCTTTAGTTAATTAGAAAGTATTTTCGATACAAAATCTATGATGCCTTTCCTTTTAGATTTTACTATCTAACATAAGAATACATTTATAGGAGTTTTGCAACAAGGTCCCAGAACTTCCTATTTGCTACTCTAGAAATAAGCCTCAAAGCTTTGAATATCCCATCTTAAATTTTTGGTTCTTTGTTTTGAAAGATGTGATACTCAATCTGTGATTTTAAAGAAAAACCTGTAGAGAATGTATTGACACAATCTTCTGGACAAATTTTTCCTCTTCTAACAAGATTACTCATGAGTATTCTTCTGATAGGGCCCACAAAGAGCAAACAACTCCCTTTATAGGACTCCATCATAATCCAACCTCACAAAGAACAATAAATTAAAAAATCTGTTTCCAAAAATTGAGTTGTTTGTTTCTTGTATCTCCCAGATGGAAAACACTTTTGTTAAATCATTGCAAGTGAAATTAGGCAGCTTGTTAGTGAAGCTTAATCATTCATTAGCATTTTAAATTCCTGCAAAGGGACAAAATACTTCAGTTTCTGGCTGCCTGAAGATTAACAGCTAATGCTTTTTGTTTATATGTAAACATCTAAAGTCTGTATCAGGAATTAGCTAAAGAACACTGGGTAAAATTTTTATTTTTTCAAACGTTGTTGGAGCTCACAATATTCCTCTTTTCTGATTATTTTTATTATCCCTTCCCCTCATTGTTTTCATTATTTTCTTACAACTTTGCCCACAGCAAGGTCTTTTTGCTTTCCTTTGACATAGCTCTAGGTATTGGCTATAAATGAGTATGTTTCTTCCAATATACTTATCCAAAATGGGCAGATTTAGATAAGTGAATTTGTATTATAGAGACTCCACACATTAGCTCAACATTACACTACAAATCCATACACAAAGGGATATGGAGAGAACAGAATTATGGATGAAGGTATCAACTCTTTATTAATAAAGTAAAATGACCTGTTGTCCTGGTCTAATAGCAGGAAATAAATGAGATTCAGACAATCAAAACTGAACTAAATCTAATACTAGATTTCATCTAGTTAAAAGAAGAACCATGCCACATAAAGCAGGTGGTTAAGCATCCTCGCAGAGAATCAAAGGAAGAAAACCCAATAACTAGCTTGTTCTATGTGCAACTATTTCAAAGACTTTGGCAAAAGCTGAGATCGCAGAAAAATCCCAAAAGACCTTCACAGAATTGGAAATCTTTGCCAGATCACCTAAATTACAGGTTTCAGTGACTTCGGCACCTGTGGACAAGCTACACACTTATTTTATATTATTCTCCACTTTTTACTGCTCACTGAAGAAGGGAAAAAGCTTTCAGGATCACAGTCATGTGTGGCTTTAGCTGGTGGGGTACAAGCCCTGTTCCCAAGTCAATTACATGTCATTTTTGCTGCTTTTACTGTAGGAGAGGGTGTTCTACAAGAGAGAGGCAAAATACACAACTCCAGTCTGTGAAGCAGAAAATATCAGACAGAGCCTTTTACCCTGTGTCTAGTGTACCATTAAGTTTTAGAGGAATGGTAGGTTACTGGTCAGTCTCCAAATGTACTAGAAGTTGATCAGTAAAGACTCCAGCTTCTACAAATTGACTGAGATTTCTAAGAGTCAAAGTCTAAATTGCAATAAAAGTTTAAAATAACCCCAAACAACACCATTCATGTTTCAATCATGAATGAAACAAATGTAACTCCTTCTCACTTCAACTTCCTACCTTCCTAAACTTTTGCTTGTAGCTGTTGAGATAATTATGTTTAAAAAAATGTATCACAGCAACAGCCTGAACTCAGCATATCATTCCTAGCAGTCTCCTAGAAATACGAAATTGTAGCAAAATTTATAGACAATAACACAATGTATCACCTTCCTGCTCTGTGAGCAGTCTTCATTCATTTCAAGAGCGTTTTAAAAGCACCAATACCACAATGCTGAGTACAAATAGAAAGGGCAGGCAGGCTCCCACCATGCTAATTGTCTCACCTAGGGGATGCTGGCAACAGCCCATATGAACAATTCCAAAGCTTTCCTCTCCCCTCCTACTCCTTTGTCTAATATTTTTCACTATAATCACACTCGGGAAGAAAATTACGAAGCTAAGAATGACAAGTGGTTCTTGCCTCAGCTAAAACTATTCGGAAATAATAGAAGGCAAGATCAAGAGGCGTAGATATAGAAAGGCTTTTGCCCTTGTAGCAACAGAAAAATAAGTGAAACCACTGAAGGCCATTTGATGAGGCAAATGCATGCTTTCTGTTTTTCTGGTTGAGAGGTCCAAGGATTTCCACAGCTCATTTGCTGCAAAGGTCAAATCCAACCCGTGAAATTTCCTCCAAACATACAGCCTTTTTACTACAGCCATCTACGACTGTCATCTCCCTCTTAGCCACCTACAGAAAACTAATCACCCCAGCGTGCAGCTTAATATAAATGGCTGTAACAAGGCCTTTGCACAGCAACAGCAATAAAAGCCAGCACCAAAATGTCCACAACAAAACCTGATCTCAGATTTCCCTGTGGAAGCTCTTTAAGTCAGGTTTGTGTACACACTGCTCATAGTTCATTTCCAGTCTCTGCTTCCCAATGGGCAGGTGTTCAAATTGTATTGTAGTACTTACCTCCCACTTTATCCCACAAGGATGTGAAAGTGGCTAACTTCACAAACAGCAAAGGGTATAACCAGAAATGTATATTAATTTGGTAATTAGCCTTTTGTAGCAGACCAGAAGCCTTTCAGCCTTCAGGTATTATTTTTCCATTTTCTGAGTGTAAGAGGAAGAAGCCTATAAAAATTCTTTAGCAAACAGAAACAGATACCCTAACTACAGCACAGATGCACTAACTACTTTCAAGTCTTGGTTTGAAAACTTCAATAAACCTTAGGGGAAAAATTCAAACCCCAAAGCTAAAGAGTCGTTTTCATTTTCCCTTTACTTTTGCTCCTTTCCTGCAACAAATTTCAGTCCACACAACTGCACAGATTCAAGCAGGCAGAACTCATCACTCTGGGGAACATGAATAAAAAAATAAATAAATAAATAAAAAAGGTAAGCTTTCTTACCTCTGAGAAGCATTTCCTTTTGACTCCTCTGGGTTTCCTCCAGATGAAGTAGTAACTGGCAGGTCCTTGTTGATAGACACTGACCACAGGTCATGTGAATCAGCACAGGCAAATTTCTGATTTTCATCTTTACGGAGCATCACAGAGTAGCAGAACTATTACACAGCATCTGGAATGTGAATTGGAAAATAATTCAAGATTAATAACTTTCAAATCTGTTTTGGTCTTTCAGGGAAAATTGCCAACAATGGAATGACACTAATTATTACATAATCAACATTAGTTAGTGACATGAGTTTATTGTTATAGTTCATGGTTAGTGTGAAAGATAGTGGGGCTGAAGGCAAAAGGAGGCAGTTTTAGTCAACCTCTAAAAATTAATTTCAGGAAGAAGTTCATGCAAAAGCACTTGCCTTCCAGAATGTCAAGAGGCATTTCTCCTCTATCTTTTATAACTGAAGTCCTGCTCTATGGTGGCTTGCAAAAGGCAAATAAAGAAAAGGCTGTTCAAGAGACTTAAATGCTCTAATATGGACTCTATTACAGGATTTTAAATAGAGAGAGAAGAAATCAAGATGGTAATGGAAACAGTGCATCCTGCTCAAACACATTTTTCTAATATTGACAAAAATTGCTTATTAGTATTTTAATACCACAGATTTCCACTTATTAAATATAGCATTTAGTGAGTTTACACTATTGCTAAAGTTCTGAAGATTAAAATGTAGCTCATTAGCATGAATCCATTTTGACCGTGTGTGATAAAGCATGAACTCGCATAAATCATTCATAAAGGACACCTTTACATTTCTTCCCACAACTCCTTAGTATTATTTCATTCTTTTCCAGAAGTAAGTATTGACTGCAGCTAAAGTATCTGCTCATTACAGATCACAGTTCAGCTCCCAACTAAGCTGGATCAATTACATCAGGGACCAAACACTGGAAAATAATACAAATATTTTCTTCTACTTAAATGGCAAAAAACCCCTAAATTAAAAAGTATCTTTGGCTCTGCATGTGCACACAAGGCTTTGTTTTTAATAGAACTTTTCTCAGAGCAGTTTTACATTTAAATTCTTATGAAAGAAGAAGAAACAAACCAATGCAGACTGACCTGACGGTAAATTTTAAAAAAATAATTAAAAAAAAAAGTAGTATTGAAGGTTATTGTGGTTTATCTGCTTATGATCAAAAAATTAAACTGGCCACAAAAATCTTATCTCACAAACACCAAAGTATTATTCAACTGAGTAATGTATTTAGACTATATATAAACTATAGAAGCATCACAGACCAAGGTGGCAAAACATGGTAAAACCCAAAGATAAACTCAACTTTAATTAGAAGGAATCAGTTCTCAAAGAAAATCCAACGAAGATCTTGCTGTTTTCCCGCAACTTTAATGAATCCCTGCATTTGCTTCACTGAACAACTAATTCATTATTATAACTAGAACTTGAAACTAAACTGTCTTATCAGAAAAAATATGAACTTAGTTTTTTCTCTGGGGACTTAAAATTTCCCATTTTACTCATGGGTAGCTTTTACTTAAGTAAAATTAGAGTCCTTATTTATGTTGCTGTTCAAAGAATTGTTATTGTATTTAGTTAAATCACATCAGCATACACTATTATATCATGTTCTTATCAGACTTCTACATTTTTAAAGGAAGATTATGTCCTAAAAAGTGAAACCAAGAAAGCAAAAGAATTCAGTGTATTTTCTTCTCCATATCCAGTTTCAGTACCAGAGTTATTGCCTTGCTGGAGCATCTTTATGACTCAATATATTTCAAAACCACTTTCAGAATACAGAAAAATAGTTTCATGAAAATAATTCATCTTTGAGTTTAATTTTACATCTAGAACATAATGGAATATTTAATACTTGTCAAGTCAACTCCATAAAGTTACTTTATATTGTTCAAATGTGGGAGAAATAGAAGACAAGGGCATATTTGCATCAGATGGTGCAAGACTATATGTATATATCCTACTTAAATCAGTTGCAAAAGCTTGCAAAAGCTTACAAAACCCGCACAAAACTACAAACAAACAAACAAAAAAAACCCCCTAGCCATGGCTTATTTATTCCACTTAGTGCTGCTCACTGAGAATGGATGACATAAGGAGGCAGACTGCTCCCAGAACACAAGGCACTATGCAGCCTGAAAGAGCATTACATCACACTGTGTGACCCGAGAGACTTAACCCATTTTGATCAAACTGAATTTTCTGATATCAAAACTGTTCTTAGATCAGAAAAAAAAAAAAAAAATAAAAGAAAGAAAAAGAAAAAAAAATTAGTGCCTTAGACTTTAAATCAGCCTACTAGAAAGTAATCCTCCATCCCATAAGCAAACAATATAATTCAAAACATAAGAGGCGGGAGCCATGGTAATTCAGCTTTAAGATTCTGTAATTCTTATCCAGGCAAGCTTCTTTCCTCAAGAGAACAAGTGCCCTGAAATCCTGCCACGGTGGAGCACTCCAACAAGCAATGAACCCTCAGCATAATATTAAAACCAAACACTACACACAAACCTAAGATATACAGAAATACACAGTTTTGTACATACATAAATTAAGAGTCCTCTTTACAGTTTTCAGTTAACCCAAACAGCATTTGCCACTCATTTTTTTAATTTTTTTTTAGTTGAAGAACATTCAAATGGATTCTGGCAGAGTTGCACGCACGGAAACACTCATTCCAGCAGAAGCACAAAGCGTGTCAGCAGGACAGGCTGGAAATCAAAACAATAATGTGCTTTTCTTCCACGGTTGAAGCCTTCGTTTGGACAAGTGGTTGAGCAGCACTGACCACAATCCCCTCAGTCAGTTTGATTAGCTATGATCCCACTTAGTCCCACAGTGCCCTTTAATAGCCTCGGGACATTTACAAAATTGGTGCTTGGGAGATTAGGAACACTAGGTTTCTGTTCCAGAAAAGCTAAAACCAGTTGTTTTCAGAATGAAGTCATACTGATATATCATTAGCAACTAAAGATAACACCAGTGACCTCTGCTACGTTCAAGGGCTCATAAATAATTAAAAAATAAAATTTTCCTAAGTGTCTGGTTAAACCCAGGCATCTAAACCCCATTTAGGTCCCCAGATAAGATGCTTGATTTTAAAAGGCATTTGTTTACTATCCATCACAGTGATTTTCACTGATCACTCATTTACATACATTTCCTTACCTAAGAATTGTTTTCTTTTAATTCAGTGCTTTACAGGGGCACCTTTCTGTGCATTAAAGCATCTGTTCTTATTAGCAAAAATAAAAGGTGACTGTAAGTCCCCGCTAGTGCAACAGCATATCAAAATTCAGAACTGAGGAAAAACAAGACAAAAATAAAAAGACACAGCTCCCCAAGACAACTGTGTACCTACAACCACCTCTACAAATGGAATTTATCAAAAGGTCAAACCTAAAAAAACAGAAATTCATAAATACTAATTATCACCTTGCCAGTGATTGCATGATAACATTTACTAATGCATAATTGAATAAGAAAAAATTAAAAAAAACAGAGAGCGTGGGTAGATTTAATAATTAATTCCTCCCACACTAATCAGTTTCTGACTATTCTAATAAGCGTAATTATATATTCTTGCTTCCTTTTTCTTTTCTTCTTCCTTTGTGAGTAACAAACTGAGTCTGTCTTTCTAAACCTAAAGAGAAGGGGAACTACAGCAACAATAATTTTTAGCAGTTCTAAATTTCTAAATGTTTTAATTGTATCTAGGTTTGTATTTTATTACTGAATACTACTAGGATTCTTTGTTTTGCAAAACAATAGTAATTTCAAGTTATCTCATTAGAAGTAGATCATCCTCCCTCAAGTCTTCTTCCTAAATTACACATTTGTAATCCAGTGTATTTATTTATGTGTATTATTATAAACATAAGTTAGCAGCCACCATCCACCATCCCCCACTGTCCCAGCAGGGTTATGGTTAAGGACAGCTCGTCTCCACTGTCCCAGGTCTGAGCAGACAGAAGGGTGGATGCTGTTCACAGTCCCAGGGTCAGCAATGTCAGGATGTAATTACACGATTACAGCACTGATTTGCAGGCAGCCACAGCGAGCTCACACATGCTTTTACTGTACAAGGGATAAACAAGACTAAAAGCACAAGAGCAGCTGCCAGAAACATGGTAGGAGACGCTGCTTAAAATCCCACACAGGTCTAGTGACCATGGATAATATAAGCACAACATATCACAGTAACTGTTAGCCATAGGGGAAGTGCCAAACTATTAAGTCAAATGAGAATTTTAACTTTTTTTTTAAACTTCAGCCAAATTTTATCTTGTCACAATATTTTGTTAGACCAACACGTTCTGCAGGCTAATGTTGGAACAGTGTCAATAGAAAAAAAAAAAAATCAAAACAGAAGGGCACACAGTCCTCTATAGGCCACATGAAAACAAAATTGCTATAATGTTTGTCACAACACACTAAAAACACACCCCACTGTGAATAAGATGGACTTCTGGGCAATGCCACAGAGTCTCAGGTCTTGCATAGCACAGCCTTCAGCAGAGTGGTAGAGCAGAGATGTGCTGTGGGAGAAGGATGAGCAGCAATTCCTGTCTTTACTAATCCCAGCTGAGTTATTGTTTGACCTAACATCACATATTAGCTACTTAATTCCTCCACAGAGGCTTATTTCCTCCATGGCATTCAACAATCAATACTGCAAGCTTGCTGGCTCTGGTCAATGTGCTGCCGTGCGGTGGTTTTTGGTTTGCTTTTTTTGCTTCCTTTCCTAGAACTGATCCATTATTTCACAAAAACACTTTAGGAGACTACATAAGCCCATGGAAAGCTCACCAGAATCAGTTTGCAACTTCTATCTGGATACATGAAAAAACCCAAAATCAAACAACAAGTATGACAAGACAAGGAGCAAGCTGAGTGACCCTGGAATAGGTCACAGCACCACAGGCATTCCAAGCTCCTCACTGCACACTAACCAAAGGTAAGGTACACAACTTACATTCCAACTATCTCCAGCAGATTCACTTGTTACTGAGCCATAATTATTATTTTAAAAGTTTGTCAGGAACAGAAGAGGAAGTGGAGGATGTAAGAGCACAGAGATATTCAACCAAGCATGTGAGGGGGAAGAGCAGTAGAGTCATTAATACTTCATTCT